TCTCTTAGAGAATACATCTTGAGGAGGGTCGCAACAACTCTCGATGAAAATGCAGCGATCCTCGGAGAAAAAGAGTGAGCACCTGCAGTGCAGTCTCTCTATCGGTGCCCTTTTGTAACCCTTTTTCGGCTCTTTTACTTTCAACGTGTGTTGCGGGTGCGTACTTGTATTAGTGGTTGTTTCTGATGATGATGATGATGGTAGTGGTTGGTATCGTGCGTCCCCCTTTCGTACGATCGTCTCGCGACTCTCCCTCTTTTTGGTCTGAGTTGTATTTTTTTTTTTTTTTGGTAAGTTTTTTGTTTCATTCTTCCCCCCTTTCTCCACTCTCTCCTAGCCCACCTTCTTCTTCTTCTTCTTCTTCTTTTTCTTTCTGCTTTACCAACCTACCTAACTACTGGCACAACCACCACCATCCCACGTGTACTCAAAAAACTGGCGTCGGAGTCCCTCTCAAGGCGTAACGACGAGCCGAACAATGCTCCACCAAGCTCACCGGAGGCTGAGCCACGATTTAAATTTAGATAATCTCACCTGCACGAGAGAGAAAGAGAGAGTGAGAGAGAGAAAGAAAGAGAGAGAGAGAGAGAGAGGCAAGCGCGACGAACCGATTCTCTCATCCCTATAGTATTATCTAAGCGTATTTATACTACCTACCCTTTTCCTACCTTTCTATCTAACTTCCTACTTATCTATCTACCCTACCATTTTTATTAGCATCGATCGAAAATTTATGAATCGTGTCTATACATTCTGATAAGATTTATCTTGAGGGTGTACTTCCAAACGTCTCGAGTATATTGCAACGAAACGATGAATACGAAAGATTATTATAAATAATATTAACAATTTTATTTAATAATTTTAACCAATGTTTTGTTAATGTTTTACTTTTTGTATTAAGGGATTTTATTACAAGAGGGGAGTATCGATTAATTTGAAGTATTTGGTTATCAGTTGTAGTCTTACGTTTATTAGAAAACTTTATTTCATTGAATATAAATTATATTAAAATAAATGTAAAAAATAGATGTGTGGTAAATATTAATATTATATTTATTATATATATATATATATATATATATATTAAAAAAAAAATTTGTTTCTTCTATATTTTCGATTTATTTTTTCATGTAAAATCACCCCCTTTTCGCTTGTACCACCAGTTACCGTTCACCCTGTATATACTATAATTATATTAAATATTATATTATAATAATTTATTATAATATTAATTTAATTAAATTTATTTAATATAATATTTAAATATTAAATATTTTATATAAAAATAAAATAATAATATTAAATTATGTATTTATAATTAAATGTTAAATATTATACATTTATTTAGTATAATATTTAATATTTAATATTAATTATATTAAATAAATTTAATTAAAAATATAATATCTCTCTATTTAATTATTTTTATTTTTACAAAAATTAATTTAATTAACATTTAAATCTTTTCGTTCTTCTAAATAATTACAATTACTTTTGTTAAAGAAAAAATAATCATAAGGTGATGAAATGAACTATTTATAAGTAACTTCAAAGATATTTTCTATTCACGTTCCACCAGCATCGTTCTACATGATCACAAACTATCATAATTCGTTTAAAAGAGAAAGAGTAAGAGTAAGAGAAAGAGAATGAGAATGAGAAGAGAATAGTAGGAAAACTCGTGCCGATCGTTAAACATTTCGTGCTTCGAAGCGTACTATGGTGTACCTACCTACGCGTTTGAAAATCGTGCGAAGTACGAGAATGAGCTCGATGTACTTTAAACTGAGGAACCAGGGCCCCTGTTTTAAAAGCATGTGCATGCAAACGTATAAACGATCGGCGAAGAGAGAAGCCCCCGTCGAGCGTTTTAGAACTCGAAAAACGGGTTAATACTCCTGCTGCACGAAACAACTTCCTTTAGAACTTCCTCGTGTAATCCGAAGTACTTCTAATATAAACTTTTGATCCTATAAATATACATATTACATATATATATATATATATTAACTAGAAATTATTAGTTAGACAAATTTACAGTATTATACTGTTACAATAATAACTAAGTAATCCATAAATAACAATTATTTATTATATTTAATATTCAATAGAATTTTTAGAAGACTATGCTTGCAAAATTGTATTTTATTTATTTTTTTTATTTTATAATAAATATAATATAATAATATTATTTTGTAATTTATATTTTATAAATACATATATGTAATATCCAATTGAATTTTATTTATTTTGTTTTTTTATTATAATAAATAATTAATAATATCATTTTTTGTAATTTATAAAATATATAGTAATTTAATTATTACATGTAAATTATTTAATATAAATATTTAATTTAAATAAATAATTATATATATATATTGTATTATATTATATAAATACGTAAAAAAAATAATAAAATCACACATATTACAGGTTCGACGTGTAATAAATAATAATTAATTTTAATTAAAAATTAAATGGAATTGTGTTCGATGATATTTACGATGGTAAATATTTAACAATTATTTATGAAAAATGATGATTGAATCGATGATGAAGAATCCTCGTGATAATTCGACGACTCGGAGGATTTGCGTTCCGGTCGTTGACACTATGCGGTTACACCATTGGTAGCACAAGAGAGTGAGTGCACTTTACATGGCGCTGATTTAGCGCCAGCCTAAAAATAAACCCGTGCCACACCACCGACCGGGGCCGGCCGTAAATATCAATTAAATTCTTATCGCGCGACGCGTTGCATTAGGAGGAACAAGAATCGATCAAAGCGTAACGGGGCCTCGGCTAACGATCCATGTACATATTGTGCATTTATGTATTGAGAAAAAGAGAAAGAGGTAGAGAGAAAGTTAATGGATTTATTTGAAAGTGATTGGTTAAACGTTACATCTCCTCGATTTAAAACAAACTTTGACCGATTTTATTCTTCTCATTGAAAAAAAAAACCTTCATCCCAATCAAATCTTTCAAGATACAAATCATAAAACACGCAATATTTTGTAAAATAAATTGTGAGTCAAAAGTGAATTATTAGTAAAGTTGTACATTTGACCCATGATAATATTTGATTACAAAACACTGTAACAAATTTATTTAAATTTAATTACAAAAAAAAAGAAACCCAAACATAAAAACAAATTATTTATTGGATAAGCATAGGTACTCATAACTTTTTACAATCTACATCATTTTGTTGGAACAATTTTCAAAAAAATATGATAATATGAAAATTTTTTCAACACTATTTGGCATTGGTGAATTGTAAGGATAAATAATCCCTGCCAAAAAGATCAAATATCATTCGAATAGAAATTCACCAACTATTTTACGTGGCTTCGTTTTTGGTAAATTCGCTGCAGTAGTGACCTACATATGCATACACGAGGATATATGTATATATATATACATATAAATACATCCGCATCCTTGTATAATCTTTCGAACGTTGTCATCGTCGTTTTATACGAGAAAGGATATTTTATTCGTTTTGTTCGTTCCAAGTTTTGAGTTGGTCCCGCGACTGGCGCCAGGACATCGTGGCTCCTTCGCAACATCCTTCATCCTCTTCTTCTTCTTCTACATTTTTTTTATCTCTTTTGTTGGGACCGGAGGAAGTGGGGAGGGATAAATTATTTGGCTTTAAACTCTCGCGCAGATTGTAATCTGTTTTTTTGTTTATTACTTTGGAATGAGTAATTATCCTTGCATTTTAATTCGGATCTCTCAATCTTTCGCATTCTCGTCCACTCTTTGATCATTTTAAATGATTTTTATTTTTATTTCTTTATTTCATTCCTACTTCTTTATTTTATTTTAGTCACGAGTCTCTATCGTTTTGTAAAGCAACAGGTGGTAGTRGTGGTGGTGGTGGTACGTTCAGAGATCGTTCGATTAAATCCCATTATAACACGAAGGATTTTGATTTTATTGTCAAATTCCATGAAGAAACCGGTCTATCATCCTGAGATCCTGTTAAGTGAATTTTTACAAACCTTTTTCTCTCTCTCTTTCTCTCTCTCTATCTATCTATCTCTTTCTTTCTTTAAAGATTAATTGGCAAAGAATGAAATTACGATGTAAAATACGACGACGAAGGATCATCGATCGATCGGGAACATCGATATTGAGATGTCATCGTTAAAAATAAAACGACAAGTTAATACGATCGTTCTGCCAAGGTGGTCCTCCCTTTTCCTCCTCCTCCTCCTCCTCCTCCTCCTATTGACCACCCTCTCGCAACCCTCCGTCGTTGTAAAAAGTTGTCTCGACCGAAATCCCCAACCCGTGTAATTTTGTCTGCAAGAAAAAAAGAAAAGAAAAAATACACAAACATACACACACACACACGCACGCACATACACGTAGTATCGATAATACATAAATCGAACATACGTTATACTTTAGAGCTTATATAGGTACAACGAAGCCTAATAAATATATACGAGCGGTCGTTGCAACCCAAAAGAGGCGACCTCGCGTACTACGTTTGAATTAATTATTTCGTAGCGATCTCCCTTTTCTCAGCCATGAATAATTCAATTCAATAAACGAGAGAGAAAGAGACAAGTGTGGGAGGTCGATGATTATTCTCTTGGCCAGTTTTATCGATGCCACTAACAATAAGTGCCAAATTAAATACTCCTTTCTTTTGTTAATATACCAAAAGAAAAAAAAAAAAAAGAAACAAAAATCACAAAAGTGTAAAGAAACATTTTTCTGTCTCTAATAAAAATTAATAATTATTAAAATAATTAAAATTAATATTTTTCTTCGATGTTTCTATTTATTAATTAATTTATTTACAGTAGAAAACCTCGTATTAATATTTAATTGAAAAATGTTGATAAAACGGTGACCTAATAAATAGGAAACATTAATTAACACTGTTTAACGCATGTATTCACTTTAATACCAAATTTCTCTCTCTCTCTCTCTCTATATATATATATATATATCACCGTTTATTCTTGTTGCAGGATACTTCGGTAAATATTTGAACAAGTACAACGGCTCGTACATACCGCCGGGTTGGCGAGAATGGGGTGGTCTGATAATGAACTCGAGATACTACAACTACAGCGTCAACATGAACGGGAAGAAGATAAAGCACGGCTTCGAGTATAGCAAGGACTATTATCCGGATCTAATAGCTAACGATAGCGTTGCGTTTCTACGGCAAAGCAAGCACAATTTTGCCCGTAAACCGGTAATGTTGGTTGCAAGCTTTCCGGCGCCACACGGACCAGAAGATTCCGCACCACAATTTTCTCATCTCTTCTTCAACGTCACCACTCATCAGTAAGTATATACACGTACATATATATCTATATGTGTATACAATGATCTTTCTTCTTAAAATCAACACCGAGAAGTTCAATTTTAACAGGGTGGTCGAAACCCTGATTTTGCAAACATTCGTTTGTGTGTGTGTGTGTGTGTGTGTGTGTGCTAGCAATTTTACTGATCTTTTTTCTCCTTCTTTTTCATCTTCTTCTTCATCTTCTTTATATTTTTCTGTTTCTTATTGCAGTACGCCGGCTTACGATTACGCGCCGAATCCAGACAAACAGTGGATTCTTCAAGTCACTCAAAAGATGCAGCCTATACACAAACAGTTTACAGATCTCTTGATGACTAAGAGACTTCAGACTTTGCAAAGTGTCGACGCAGCGGTCGATAGAGTGAGTAATTTACATATGAAACACGTGGACAAAATAAAAAAAAAAAAGAAAAAAAATTACAAGTAAAATGATAATGAAAATTCTTCAGAAAATAAACTGATTTTTTTAAATCATGTTAGATTTATCAAGAATTAAAAGACTTGGGTGAATTGGATAATACCTACATCATTTATACGTCCGATCACGGTTATCATTTGGGACAATTTGGTCTTATCAAAGGCAAAAGTTTTCCATTTGAATTCGATGTGAGAGTACCTTTCCTCATCAGAGGACCTGGTATAGAACCTGGATCCGTGTAAGTTAGATCAAGCAATTATTTCATTCTTATCTTTGTAATTTTATTAACGATAACGACAAGCTGAAAAATGAACAAGAAAAATCTAAATTCTCCTATTTTGATCATCGAACAAGATTGTCGATCGTTAAAGGCGTAAGATCTATTTGTTCCGTAATTCGTTAGGTTGATCGGATTGCCAAGCACACACTATACATTGTATATATATATATAGACATATACATTGAAAAGTACAATCTGTTCGTTCCCTTAAACCTTTAGCAAGATTTCACGGCAATAAATAGAGCACTTGCACGTAAGTGCCCGTTGTCTGGAACGTCTTCTGGAATTACGGTTTCGCGGTCCGCCATAAAGAGTCTTGGTACGCTATAAATTATCCTGCTGGACCGTGAAACCAAGCGATGAGAAAAGTGGTTCGCGACTGATATATATGTATCTGTATATACGTATATGTTAGTAGTAGTAATCGTAGTAATAGTAATATCCAATACACATACAACACATATTGGGTTGAGATGCAGTAACATCAGCAAGAATATCGCTTAACTTGTTACATATATATATGTATATACACATACATAGATATACTTACATCCTATGAAGTATAAATCCATGTCGAGTTGGACTCTCGGATTCTCCTTGTGTCGCGTTGTGTTACTCCTATCTCCATCGGTTTTTGCAACTAATCGTTGTGGAAATTGACTGTGAGAGAAAAAGAAAGAGAAAGAGAGAGAGGAACTGAAGAGAAACGGATTCAATGCACGTTCATCTTCTCTTTCTTTTTCTTCTTCTTCTTCTTCCTACGATTGAGTAATGGATCTTAGTATATAAAGCAAATACCCCTAAGTGCTACCTTTAAGCATCGAGTCGCGATAGAAGTTCTATGTAACGTTCCAGAGTAGACGACATAGTTTTAAACATTGATCTGGCGCCAACTTTCCTGGACATCGCTGGTGTTGAAACACCACCCCAAATGGATGGACGATCTTTCAAAATGCTATTTCTTAAGTGAGTGAATTTTTATTCTGTTTTTTTTTTTTTTTTTATAGATAAATGATTTAATTATAATTTACGCGATGTGTTTTGGTTGGTTGATAAATTGTGTTGTGGAATTTGAAGTTTGTTTCATATTGAAATAAATTGCATGACAACATTTTGGAAATATTTCATATCTAATTGTGTTATAAATAAAAAAAAACACACACACACATTAATAATTTTGTATCTTGGCCAACTCGAATATGTCAAACTTTGTGTTCCGTAAATTTACACAACAGAAATTTGAATTGTAGATGAGAATCTATTAAAAAAAATATTTTTTATTTGTAGTAATAAACGTAATAGAAGACCAAAAATAAAATGGCCCGATACATTTTTAATCGAATCATCGGGTCGTCGTGAGACCCCAGAATCAATCGCTGAATCAAAAGCACGAGAAGCGAGGAAACAAAACGCGACGATGACTAAACATCAAACTCATAATTCACCTAATGAAGAGGTTGATGACATCGCTGAAACTGAGGATTCTGAAACCGGTCGATTTCTAGAAAATGATACGGGAAGTGATCAAGATATTTCTGAGGATGATTTTGACGAATCGATTATCGATGAAACAAGTACAATAACATTTTATTCTATAACAATAATTTTTCTACTATTTATTATAATTGATTTTATTACATACAACAAAAACATAAGCCCAATAAATTCGAATATTAATTTCACATTAATTAATAAACTTTGTGTGTTTAATTGAAAGCTCCGGATTTACATTTGGACAACAGAGTTCATCCAGTTCAATCGCCATTTGCTTCGAAACACGAACGTTTAGCAATCGAATGTTCAAGACCGGAAGCTCAAGCCGATTGCGTGCATGGTCAAAAGTGGCGTTGCGAGAGAGATGGTCATCGTTGGAGAAGACATAAATGTAGATATACATTACCACCACCTATACTAAGAACATCGAAAAAGTGTGCATGTTTCACACCTCAAGGATTGATTTATACGAGATTGGAAACTAACGATTACGATATGTCGAGATACGGGTTTGGAAGGGATCGAAGACCTTTCGATCCTTATGGTGAAACGAGTGGATATTTTATGAAAAGAGGTCAGTTCTATATATCAAATATAATTTAATATTCAATAAAAAATGTTAAAAATTAATTAAAAAAAAAAAATACAAAAAAAAAATGAATGCAGGTAAAAGAGAAATATCTGAGGATGATGAACTGGAGGAGGAAGATGATCTGGATGATATGAGAGATCGACGTGCGATAGATGAAGAAGATGACGATGAATTCTTACAAGATTTACATACGCTTAGACAATATTCCCACGAGGGAGACACTTTATTCAGGTATCTAATTAGAAGCTAAATCAAACGGTAATTGGATTATCCTGATCTTTCGTTATGAAACGCAGGTAAACGTTGCTTTCAGAAATGTCTATTTTAATCGTACTTCGGTAATGCGGATCAATGATGATGATAATGATGATAATAATAATAATAATGAGCAAAGAAGCAATGAAGAAGAAAACGTATCGGATGATCGTTTGATTTCAAGTTACTCGATTAACGATTTTGATCCTAGTTTAGATAAGATCGTAAAAGGTCGATTAAATGTCGAAGATGTGATCAAAAGACATAGAAGAGTTAGAAGAAGTGCAACGAAGAAAGATACGATTGAACATGTTACACAAATAATGGAAAGTATAGAAGAGGAATTGGATGATTTAAAAGTAAGTTGTTAATCATTTTTGTATCTTTTACCTATTACGAATTACTACAACGAATTCCTACTAATTCATATCTTAAACAAACTTTTTCACTTTTGATTTGTTTGTTCATTTTTTATCGGAAATTTCTACAGTGTATTCCACGAAATTTGGAATTTTAATGATTCCACGAGATGGTCTGAATATTTTATTTTGTTTTTTTTATTTCGCAGCAAACACACGCCCGTCATTCAACCTCACCGCGAGTTACCTTACCATCTAAGTGTTCAGTGCTACCCGAAGGTGGAGTTAATTGTAGCGAAGCTATTTATTTGGATCCCAACGAATGGAGATTGTCCAGACGAAAGATCGAACAACAAATAAAAGAGATGAGAATGCAATTAGAAACTTTAAAGGTGTGTTAAATTTCCATCTTGTTATAATCATTTAATATACATTTATTCTGAATATTAATTTGTAATTAATTTCCAAAGGAAATACGTCGACATTTAATGATCAAACGTCCCGTATTTATTCCGGATAACGAGGAGGAGCCTTCCGAGTCGGAGGATCCACATGTTTCTCATAAACCACATTATCATACTTCTAAGAATCACACCAGTAGGCATCACAAAAAACACGAGAAAGGGCCTCATGCGAATTCGATTAACGTTACCACTACTACGACGACCCATCGATCCACTTCTTCAAAGTCGTCTCAGTTTACCACCGTTGAAAAAGACTCGACCATTCAGGAAGATAATTATAATAAATATAACGTTACTCGTCCCGAACTTTCGACTCATGAAAGAGAATCTACTTTAGAATTATCCAGCACAACGACCACTATGTTACCGAAAGTCAAAAAAAATCCACGTAGACAAAAAATCAAAGAATCATCCAACAATACTACAGATACTGAAGATCATAAACAACAAAGACGTAGAAAAATTCCTTACAATCGTAAGAACAATAATACTCTGTTAACAAATAGCGTTCACGACGATGTTCCACCGAATCATAACGCGAATGAAAATACTGGAGGAACTGTTGCTCCCATTCAAGATGAAGTAACTTTCAATCAAAAATCACAATATCAAACAGATAAATCAACGAACGTTCCAATCGTTTTTACCAGTGTTCACGATAACACTCAAGAAGATAATTATAGAAATAACAATGTAAATAATAAATTAACGACGACCGAAGTAACATCGCAACATGTTTCATCGTTCGTAACTGAGACACCAGGTTCAATCGGTACCGTCGAATTTGGTACACCAATTTACAAACCAACTGTATCTACTACGGTAAATCATCCGATTCCAAGTAAAAGCGAATCTAATACGGCTAGTTCAACGATACAATTAACTGTACCAACGACAATCCCTCCTGTTAAAAAAATACCCAAAGTACAAAGGAACAAAACAGGTGGTATTCTGGGACCAGCTAGAATAGACGTTACCATATTGGAGACTCCAGATAGAAAACATAAGCAAGGTATATCTTTGTATACTATAATCATATATATTATTATTATTATTATTATTATTAAAAAATAAATAAAATATGTTTTAAATGACAGGTATAACAGCGACAAATAACAATGGTCGTTTACCACCATTATTAAACAGTCCTTTAGAAGCACGTCACAAATGCTACTGCGAACCTGACTCGTATTCCAAAAAGGATGAGAAGGAGATAGCTAGAGAGGAAAGGAGACGTTTAAAAGAAGAACGACTTAAAAAGAAAGAACGAAAACTTAAGAAAAAGGCTAAACTTGAAAAGGATTGTTTGACTGAAAAAATGAATTGCTTCGAGCATGACAATGATCATTGGCGTACTGCTCCATTATGGAATGCAGGACCATTTTGTTTTTGCATGAACGCTAATAATAATACCTACTCGTGTATTCGTACTATTAACGTTACGCATAATTTTCTTTATTGCGAATTCACTACTGGTTTAGTCACTTTTTACAATTTAAGAATCGGTAAGTTGAAACATGAAAAAAAAAAAAAATGATTTTTTACGAATATGTTAATATGTAAATATAAATATTTTTATATTTTGTTTATTTATAGATCCGTTTGAACAATGGAATAGAATATCGATGTTATCATCATCAGATAGATCCTATCTTCATGATCAGTTAGAACATTTGAAGGGTTGTAAAGGGACGCGAGATTGTACAGTAGGAAGTGCAAGAGAAACGATGCCTCAAGTTCAACATCAAAAATATATATCTAAAAGAAAGTATAGTAATACGTTTGGTATGTAACAATATCTTTGTTATACTCTCTTCATTTTTTGACAAATTGATGTTAATTTTATTTCATTTATTTCTTTATTTGTTTACGTAGAGGATTTATTTGTGCCATCAGCCTTACAAATTATTCGAGAAAGTGAACTCGGTAGTCCGCCTAATAAAAGACGGAAAAAATTACCAAGGTAAGTTATTTTTTTTTATTTGTATCATTTGATTTTCTCTCTCTTATTTTGTTTTTTTTTTTTTTTATTATAATTCAATGAGAGATTTGTTTATAATTTTGTAGCGTTTGGAACAGACGAAGTCGAAGTTGGCAAAGCAGCTTGAGACATCATGAAGATGCGACGATTACGCGACGTCACAGACATCAGTATTGGTAAATTTATTTTAGAATTGTGTTTTTTTTTCTTTTTTTTTTTTTTTTTTTTTTTAATTATTTCGTTATCTTTTTTCAAATTTATTTTTCTTGACAACAGTGGATCAAATTGCCACAAAATTTTCAAATACATTTGATAATATTATAAATTATTTCGTAATATTAGCGACAAGGATTATGGATAGGTCAATTAAAATTATTTAAAATCTATTTAATATACAAAAAACACACAAAAGATGAAAACTTATTAAGATTTAATTTATAGAAATGAATTTTTTAAATGACGATGATATAAAACTTGGGATGGATACTGTATCGAAGTCAATCTCTAATAACTTAACTTTATTGTATTTAACAAATTCATAAAGAAAAATAAAACACAAGCAACTTTCGACTATAAACAATTAAATATAACTATTTAAAGTTAGTTAAGTCATTCATACAAGTGTTTTATCTAAAATTTAATTCTATTGGAAGTAAAAAAAAAAAAAAAAGACGTTCTTATAATGCACTGCCAGGTTTTCTCGAATACAATCATCTTTTATTAATATTTTAAAATGAATATTTAAAAAGAGAATACGAAAACGAATCAGATCACCGCAGCGCAGCTGTTATACTATCCTAAGACTGTGTACATTTATTGATATATATAAGCAAGAAAAATGTTTTCTACAACTAGCTTCAAACGAAAACAAACGTCGGCTTTCTTACTTCGATTATATGAAATCGATCATTTTTATCTTTTAATAAGTAGAAATAAATGATATCGTTTATATACTCTAAACTCTTCGTTCTGTTTAAAATAAAAAAAAAAAAAATAAAAAAAAAATACTGCAACGGATGAACGTTTAATAAAAAGTTAGAATACTGGTATGTACTAGGGGAATTTAAAAAGAAAAAAAAAAACAAAAAGAAAAATAAATAAACAAAAAATAAATTACGTAAGAAAAAAAATAGATGTATTATACATATATATATATATGTGTTAGAAATATAACATATATAATACACATATATATCATTTCTATTGAATTTTACTTTATTTATGTTTTTGCTCTTCATATTATTATACAAAGTCGTACATTAATTTTTTTTTTTTTTTTTTTTTTTAATAAATATATATTGCTGTAACTTCATTTAATCGAACAAAATTTGTTTCATCGTTGTTATTGTAACAGATTCAAATTTTAACGAGGACAATGTATTTACAATTGTTATTATTAAAAAAAAATACCCAGTAAACTGAGTAAGTTGATATACTACGTCACGTAGAGCAAAACAAAGTTTTATTGTTGTACTTCATCCAGTGCTTATTCTATTTTATTTCATAATGCGTTACAGATATAATTTAGCTTTCAGGCTTGCACCTGTGCATATGTAGATAATAACAAATAAATAACTTATTTATATTTTTAATTATTGATCTTACGACATTGTAAAGCTTGTAAAAAGATAATTCAAAAAAAAAAAGAAAAAAAAAGGAAAAATGAAAAGGAAAAAACGAAAATGGGGGGGAAAAAAAAAGAATAGAAAGTTTTTGAATTATTTTTATGAATCTAATTATGTAATAAAAGTATTACTTTTTTAGACACAACTGTCCTTGCCATGAAATACTTATTTAAATAAAAATCATTTCTCATTTGCCAATGAATAAATATATATATATATATATATATATAATTGTCTTTATTTAATTTCAGACATAATTTTATAAATATAAACGATAAGTATATATTTGTTATAATTTATTATAAATACTAAAAGTTAAACTTTTTTGCATTTTATAACTGGTTGGATAAAAATCATTGCATTGATGAATAATAAAAAAAAAAAAATCATTTCTATTAAAAATCATTATATGAATGTCTTTTAAATATATTTTCAACTTTTATTACGTGCTAGGTTTAATTTCAACTTCATTTATTATTAATAAACAAAATTTAGTCAGAATTTATAGATTTTTGTTCTTTTTCTTTTAAAACTATTTGCGTAATTATTTATTTATATTTCATTAACTCCATCATCTCTGTATCAGAATGAATTGTTTATTCTGACTCAAGATCTTTTAATTTCTGCATGTTTAATTCTTGCACATGAGAACGACACTCTTGTCCTGATCCTTGAAAATAAACCTATTCACAATATAATCATGTTTTGTATTATAATTAATTTACATATGATAATAAAATTAAAATTATAACAAAAATAATAATAATAATAATAACATACTCGCCGAATAGATTGTTTTTCATTACAAACTTTGCACTGCCATTTTTGTTCTTTTTTCACGATATGAACCTATATGAATGTTGTACAATTGCAACAAATAAAATGAACAATAATATATATAGAAAAAAAAATAAAATAAAATAAAAACAATAAAAGATAGAAACAATTAACTTACTTGAAACATTTCACAGGAATAACAGCAAAGTACATTCATTTGTTGCGGCATTGTTTCTTTCTAATAAACAAATACTCGAACTCTTCTTTTGAATTTGAAATAGCCTTGAAATCTATTATATTCTATTTGTTAAAAAAAACACTCTTTAATAATTATTATTTTTATTATACCTATACTTTTTTTTATTTTATCTAAATTAATATTTAAATATTAAGTATCGTAAGCACAGAGTTACAGTTTGCCACTACTATTTCAAAATACCGTTTGATCAGCTGTCAAGTTTGTAATTATAGATGGCTCTTCGAACAGCGCAGGCATTCGACCAATAGCATGAGAGAAGTAAAGTAACATTGCATTCTATTATTATTGTTTTGCAATATTATAGGAATGTATTTACGTATTTATGTAAATAAATAAATAAAGAAATAAATAAATGAGAAAAATAAATTCATCGAAATAATTCACTATGATTAATAAGGTTAAAATCATTCATTTTTATCTTATAGAAAAAATGATCCATTTTCTATAATATTTCTTTCTTTTTTTACAGATTTTAAATGGTAGACTTATTTCTTCCCTAAGAAAAGAAAACAAATTTCAACAAAGATCTTTGTTTTATTGGCTGACGAAAATTTTTAATAGGTTTGTTTATAACAAATGTTTCAAAAAATTAATATAATTAACATTACCTTAATTCTCTTTTATTCAAACATTCATTTTATATTGAACTATGCAGTTCTTAATAATAAATGAATTGTTTAGCATTTTTCTTTATATTTAACAAAATTAATTATGTATTCAAAGTGTTAGTGAAGAAAGGATCAAAGAAGTTGGCCCTGATCAAGCTTGTGCTGAATGGCTTTTAAAAAATGGAGCCTACGTTAAATGGAAAAATTCATCTAATTATTTAAAGGATTATAATGTTTTGATCACACAGAAAGGAAGTAATTATATACAATCGGTTGAAGCTGTAAATGCAGGCATAACATATGTAGGATTTCCATATTTTGGTTAGTACGACGTAGTGAAAATTAGTTTAGAAAAGAAATAAGTGAAATATTCATTCTTTTAATTTCATTATAAAATTGTTTATTTAGAAGGTTGCAATCATATAGAGGAAGTTAAGCTTATTCGTTGTCGATACATTTGCAATATAGCAATGTCAAAATTATTGTATTTAAAAAACTCTCTTACTCATCTCGAAGTTATAGATTGTCCAACTGTAACCGATGAAGGATTGTATAAATTAGGAAAACTTGAGTATGTATAAATATTAAAAACTTTACAAACATGTATTATCTTATGATTAATTGCTAAATTCAGTTTCTTATTAAATGATTGTAGAAATTTGAAAACATTGAAACTTGAAGGACTGAGATATGTAGAAAATCCAACTGATGTTAAAAAACAATTGAAACATCATTTACCAAATATTCAAATTGAATGGATATAAGTAAAATTATTATTAGTAAAATGCTGATTTTATCATTATATATTTATTAATTATATATGAATAAATTGTATATATATATATATATATATATATATATATATATATATATAGAAAACTAGTATCAATCACATTTGAATTGTCGTGTTTTAGCGCTATACGTCTCCATGTTTGATTTTAATAACCTTGCTATTTATTCGCAAACATAATGTACGATTATGATGAGATTACTAAATTAAATTAATATTTGAGGTAATTAAGTAGATGTCATTGAAAAAGTAAATAATTTATATATTTTAATGGAATGTAGATAATTTATACTATTCATATCTTGTTTTTTTTGTGGTTATGTTGTGGTGTCGTAATAGATTTTATTATATGACATTGAATTGTAAATGAAAAAAAAGTGAAATAACTTTTATATGCATACGAATCATGATTACTAAGCAATTACAATTGTTATAATTTAAAACATTAATATTTACAATAATTATAAAACAATGGCAGAAAAGGGTGCACATTTAACTGGAACAACATGCATTAAACCTTCAATTTTTGAAATTGTTGCACAAGAATCTCTTGCCAATATACTTGAACCTGCTTTTAAAAAGATTCTATCAGTAAGTAATGAATATTATAAAATTGTATTATAAATAATAATGAATCATTAATTGTCATATAATTGTATTTTGTTTTAGTTCCTTGTATCTTTTAATTATGAAAGATATGGACATTTACTTGAATGGTCTGACGAAGGATATTTGATTTTTAACACATTTCTTCAACGATACTATCTCAACAAATATTGTAAGTATATTAGTTATTTTAATTTTAATTATAAACGATATTTTCAATGACATTACAAAAGTTGTTCTCTAATATTAATTATATTTGTTTTAGCTGGATCATTTTCTGAAACGTTTTATGGATTAAAGCGTATTGGATTAGTAAACCAAAAGTTTTATGATCAATTAACACGAAAACAAAAATATTTTTCTTTAATATTACTTGTTTTGTTACCTTATTTAAGAGGAAAGTTACTTAAACTTAGTTATCAATATAAACTACAAGAAGCTGACAATTATGTACCTAAATCGGTAAGTCTCTAAAATATTGTATTTAATTAATTTCATAAATTGGATTATATAAAATTACATATTATTGTTGTTATAGAAATGGGAAAAATTTCTCAGAAAATGTGTTATCAAAGGACACGATACTTATTTCACTTTATATGAATCTATAACATTATGTAATTATATACTTTATGTATCTGGAAGATCAATGTATGCGACACCTTTGTTAAGGTTTCTTGGCATTGTACTTACATATTCAGAAACAAGAGCTATTGTTCCTATTACGGAATTATTGTACAAAGTTAGAAGCAATAATTTCACTATTAGTGATGGATTGGATGTACTTCAATCAACATTTGCTAGATCTCTTGAAATTGGAGCCTTCTGTTTACAATTTTTATCTTGGTGGAGTCAAGAGAATTATTTTACAGATGTAATGATGCTTCCAGCTCCGCCAGCTCCAAAGGTACAAAAAATATAAATTTAATAAAGAATCTCAAATTTACTCCATTAAAAAAATGCTTAATATTTTAATGTTTGATTTTAAGATATCATCATCAGCAAAGAAATATAAAGGATTATGTCCATTATGTATGAAAGTGCCACATATACGTACAGTACTTATGGTATCAGGGTATGTAAATTAATTTTAAATACCATTACTTGTTCTACATTGCATTGCAATTATAATTATCTTTGATTTGTAGATATATATTTTGTTATCAATGTATTTTACCTGAAGTACGTAATAAGAAATGCTGTCCAGTTACAAATTTTCCAGCTAATGAGAATGATTTAATACGTTTATATATAAATTAAATATGAAAGATGGTGTACATATTGAAATATTGAAAAGGCAAGTATATAATGAATAAAATATTATATATTTATATTTATTACTTATATAAACAAATTGTTGGAATATATTAGTAATATATGATTGGTATTATCTTTTTTTTATTATCATTTTTTTTTGTAAAATATATCTTTGTATATTTTATACTTTTAATATTGCTCTTAATGTCATTATATAAGAAAATGTTTTATACATTACCTATGACATATAAAAAATAATATTAGACAAATATAATATAATATAATATAATGTTTAATAAAAGAAAAGATTATAAATGTATTTACCAATCCACAAAAATTGAGAGATAAAGCAGGTATAATACCGTTTACCGAAATAGTGATAGGCTTTTGACATCTTTGTATGATAAAAAGTATATTTTTATGCATCGTCGATGAGGATTCTAGCCAGGAGGATACTGTGATTAATGAAATTAAATTGGAAGCCTGAAACAGTGATCTCATCAGTATTTAAAATGAATGAATATAAAATGCTTATTTAAAAATAATATGTTTTACGATGTCAGTCATTGATTGAGCCACACAGCTGCATACGAGAAGTCGTGTGAAAGATAATATTGTTACTGCAGCAAACTGTGTTACATGTAGTAAAGGTACATCCTATAAAAATGATAATACTTATAGAAGATATTATTTAAAGAATTAAAATCAAAAAAGTAGTACTTACATTTAACAACAACAAACTACATGTAATTAAATATGTGCATGCTGCTACTATGGATTTAACAAGGATGGGTGTAACAGTATTATCTATTATTGTGACATATCTGTCAAAAAGGAATATGTTTATCATATCATCAATTATTTGAATTTATAGCAATGAACAAAAGTATTATTTATTTAAATTAATACCTGATAGCATCTTGATGTTCAATAACAAAATTTTTCAGTTCAGTATCATTGGTAATGTTTTGCAATTTAATCCCAAGTATGATAAATTTAAAAGCTGCGTTACTTAATATTGCAATTACCAACAAGTCAACACTGATAGCACAAAATGCTTGCATAACTGTATATGTGTTTAATATATACACAAGATACATCGCCCATTTTTTTGTTAATGGAAATGGATACATTGTATTGAGTGGTATCTCTCTGTTGTGTATTATTGACGGAGCAAATACAAAAATTGAACCACCACTGAAGAAGAGGGTAAACATAAATCCTAAAAATAAGCTCGTCGTTTTTAAATTATTACGTCTCAGAGTTAATTCAAAAGGAGTTGATTTTGCTGATAATTGTTTCATATCATCTATGAGCATCTATAAACAAATTTTTTTTTATTAAATTTCAATGCATTTTAATAATGTATATAAATATTTTTGAAATAGATTTGCTGCAACCTTGAAATTGGATTTTTGCAATGTGCAGTAGCATAAGTTGAAAAGTGATTCGCATATGTATACAAATTCTACTATTGATTTCATCATATTTACGATATCTTGACGATAATAAGAAAAACCCCTCAGTAATGCCATTATGGAAGTTGTACCATTAATAGCATAACTCCACCATAATAATCCATATAAAATTTTTTTTAAAATGTTAGTGTCTGATTGTAGTGGCCAAGTTGCAGTGCTAATATTTAACAATTGTAAAAATATTATTAAATTATCGTTATCAGCTAAACAATTCATTTCGAACGTATTCTAATTGTTCAAAATTGGCTTACTTCGTACAAAATAAAATTAAAACTGACTGAAAAGGTACTGGAGTCTTTTACAGATAAGAGTATTTCAAGTAATTATCGTTAAGTAGAGTAGGACATTTTTAAAATATTAATTTCATCGTTATGAGAAATTCAATTATTACCACTCGTTAGCGTTATTTAAACGTAATGATTTCATACTTAACGAGCTTTCATAATTACATTTCCATTTACGAAATATTCGCTTTATTATCATACAGTTTGATTGTTCACTCCTGTAATGTCAAAAACGAGAGTAATTCCATAATGCATTTGACGTTTTTAATTTACCGTCATATATGGCATTATAAACAATTTCTTTTAAATATTTAATAATAATTATATTAATTATGGAAATATATTTTAAGAAAAAAAAAAAAAATGCAGAAATATATAAGAAAATAAAAATGTACGATTTAAAATTTGTGATAATGAGTGAGAAGTTGAAAAATTGTACTGTAGGTGGCGCTGCTGTCGATCGTTATTAGCGCCACCAAGTTGATTACAATCTACCTGCTTTTTTGACGTCTATGTATTAAACCTCTAATGCCGCCGGTTCAAAGAGTCAAAACAAACCCGTGTGATTATTCTCAACAATATTTTTATTTTACTTAACAGTTTCCAAATCCGATCAAGATGAGTCGAAGAAAAAGAGCTAAGGTATGCAACGAATTTATTAATTATTATATAATTATTGCTATTCTGATACTTTATCTTACAACTACTTGACTGAAATGAGATTTATCATAGTACTCCTTTAAAATTTCTCATGTTTATATATCTTGTCACTTTTGTTTATTAACAAATTCAATCGAATAATCTTATATGATGTTTTATTAATTAAATTTTAATATTACAGAATGACTTTGTTTAATCAAAACTTTGATTAATTGAGTGAGGTTATGTTTTGATTATAGATAGACATTGAAGTATCAGTGATACCTTATTTTATATAATTGCATCCTTTTTTCTCGATGAATCATCAATATTATACAATATTCCAATAGATTAATATCATATAACAATATTATCATTCATAGTATTCTTTTATTATATGAATTATAATATTAGATATATTATTATATTCATAAACAATTGTTTTAATTTATTTAAATTGTTGAAATATCATAAAATCATGTAGTAATGCATTCATGTGTGTGTGTGTGTATATACTACAGGTAGAGTATAGGGAAATGGAAGAAAAATATAATCAATTGGAAGATGAAAATGCATCGGATACTTCAGAAAAATCTAAAACCGGTCTTGTTACTCCAGAGAAGAAAATAGTCAGTGATGTGAAAAAAGAATCTGATCCGGTGTTATCAGTGCCAGCATCATCAGCGCCTAAAGTAGAACCAAAAGAAGAAGAGGATCAGGATAGTGACCACGAAGATCCGCATGGTAGTTACAAACCTTTTTTATAAATATATTTAAAAAATAATCCTTTGGAAGAAAAACTCTCATTGTTTCTTTATGATAATTTCAGTGAAAGAATTATTAAATGGTTTGGAAGGTGCAGCTTTCCAAAGCCGTCTTCCATTTGATAAATTAACGTCTACAGAAGCGGCATGTTTCCCAGATGTATCCGGAGGACCACCACAAACACAAAAAGTATTTCTACATATTAGAAATCGACTTGTAAGTTTTATTTGTAAGACTATCAATAACGTTGTTTATTTTGGTGTATTGTAATAACTTAATGATCATTTTTTTCAGCTACAATTGTGGCTTGAAAATCCAAAGCAACAATTAATCATTGAAAATGCTCTACCTGCCATAGAACCACCGTACAACAGTGATACTTTATTAACTCGTCGTATTCATTCCTTTTTAGAACGTCATGGTTTTATAAATTTTGGTGTTTTTAAGCGTTTAAAGGTATGCCAAAACAAAAACCAATGTATTATATATAGTTTCTTCACTTAGTATAATATTGATCGTAATTATTTTGTATATTGCAGCCAATACCTACTAAAAAATTAGGTAAAGTTATAGTGATTGGCGCAGGAATAGCTGGCTTAGCAGCAGCCCAACAAATGCAACAATTTGGCTTAGAAGTAATTGTACTAGAAGCAAGAGTACGTTCTAATATAATTTCTCTTTTTATTACCTAATATACATTATAAATATTTATAAATAAACAGATTCTTAATTTTTTCATTTTAGGATCGAGTAGGTGGAAGAATTGCGACGTTTCGTAAATCATCTTACATTGCGGATTTAGGAGCCATGGTGGTCACAGGATTAGGTGGTAATCCAGTGACAACTCTTAGCAAACAAATTAATATGGAGCTTCATAAAATACGACAGAAGTGTCCTTTATACGAAAGTGATGGCCAAACGGTACGTATTGTAAATCATTTATAATTATATTTCTTTTATTTAATATAAACATTTATCAAACAGGTTCCAAAAGATAAAGACGAAATGGTTGAACGAGAGTTCAATAGATTATTAGAAGCAACGTCTTATCTGTCACATCAGCTAGATTTTAATTATATAGGCAATGCTGGAACGGGAAGCCAAGGTACCAATACACGGCCGGTATCGTTAGGTCAAGCATTAGAATGGGTTATACGTTTACAAGAACAAGGTGTTAAACAAAGACAAGTTGCACATTTACGTTCGGTTCTTTCTTTACAAGGAAGATTAATTACCAATCAACATAGAGTGAGTATTGCATCCAATAATTGCTGTTGTAGTTGTTATAACATACATTAAAAAAAATATAAATTTATTTTTTGTTTTAGATGATACAAATTATGAGTCGTATAACAGATTTAAATAAACAATACAAAGAAATGTCAGAAAATAAATCACAGACAAGGGATATCACACAAGAATTCGTGCTGCGTTCGAAATTACGTGATCTTCATAATGCCTGCAAGGTAAACATTTAATAAAAAAACCTTATGTTCTTAATACAATAATAAATTAATATACAGAAATTGATAGTTGTTGTTTAATCTTCGTAGGAATGGGATCAGCTAGCGGAACAGCAGAAAGAAATCGAAGCGAAGTTACAGGAGTTGGAGGCATCTCCACCAAGGTACATACATTAATTATAAATACTAATAAAAATGAATAATAATAATAATGAATATAACGAAAAATTTATTTATACATATACGATTGATTACAGTGACGTGTACTTATCATCAAAGGATCGTCAAATACTGGACTGGCATTTTGCAAACTTGGAATTCGCCAACGCAACATCTCTGTCAAATTTGAGCTTGAAGCATTGGGATCAGGACGACGATTTCGAGTTCACAGGAAGTCATCTGACCGGTGAGTCCAAATATTTGATACAAAAAGACCACATTTATTCATATAAATATTGAATGTTAAACAATTTGATGATTTGAAAAACGATTATGGTATTTTGTCGATCTTCCACCGAAAGGAAGATGAATTTTATTATTTCTTATTACCTGAAAAGAATGGCCAGTTAATTATCTATATGGGGATATTTAACGACGTCTATTAGAAGTTAATCGAGAACGTGGATTCCGCGTATCGAGATTGTTTGGTATATGCAGCGTTGTCTGAAGGGGAAGATTCGTGTAGGTTGTGTAAAAGATGTGGACGCAGGGAGAGCAAGGCTCGTTGGGCAAGTGTGTAGCGTAGAGTACCTATCGGTAGTCTCCAGAGAACTTGCTTGAACCAGGAGAAGGAGAAAAGATGGTGTAGATAATGCGTGAATTATTCGCGGGTTGCATCCCCTTTTCTCGAAGTATCCCGATACTTTCTTTCCCTTTGCCTTCCAACCCGTAGCCCGTTGACTTTATCAAGCTTATTGAAAGCCGATAGCATGAGATCCCGTGTAGATAGTCCGGCCTATCCTACCACGGATCGAGTACCCTCACTTTTTTCTTTTCTTTTTTTCTTTTTTTAATTCTCTCTCTCATTATAAGAATACCGTACCGCGATTTTGTACTTCTTTAACGTTGATTGGCTTTTACACAAATGTTGCCGCAAAAAGCAACAACCGATCTTTTCCGCTAACCATACACTTTCGACAAATTCCAACAACGTTCACTCGATCATTCAAGATTCGATCTTTCTTTATTTCTTTGTGCAAGTGTATATTAAATTGAGGATCATTTAAGAGAAGTCTTGTTGTTGTGTTCTTATCATCAAAGAAAGAAGATAAAAAAAAGATATCAAAATTTGATTTCTCGTATGACAATCTGATCGGATTTTATTATCACGTAGATTTCATATTTTTCATGCAGTCATTAAATACAGTAATACTTTGATTTATTCACTTTGTTTACCTACACCGATTGCGTTGATTAATCAAGATTCTTCTTGTAGACATTGTAGAACATCTTTCTATCAATATGATAGAATAATTTCTCTCTTTCTCTCTCTCTGTTGTCTTTAATAAAGAAGAAAGATACGGTTGAACGAATTCAAATTGGTGTTCCTTTTTGATCTTGTAGCATAAATTCGGATAGCATAGTTGAAATAAGAGACTTACGTGGCGGTGGTCGGCGGTCTCTTCGTTCTTCATAAAAAAGTTCACAAAGTAGTCAGACCGAAATTAAAGCGATGGCCACGGGTCCATGACTGACTTGAATGACGTGCATCGTTGATGATGATCCTGATTGTCCTACCATTGCCGCTGCTGTCACCGTCACCGTCACCGTTGCTGCTTGCTTCTATCTTCTATCTTTCTCTCTCATTCACTCATTCACCCTTTCTATCGCGATTAATGAGATGTAAACAATTTAACGGTAAATTAAGCACGACAATGGCTACTCATTCGAGGATAAAAATAAAGAAAAAGAAGAAAGCAGATAAAAGAAAGAAAGAAAGAACGAAAGAAAGAAAGAAAGATAGAAGGTTTCTCTTCTAACCAAAACTTTCTTCTTATTTTTATTCTTGGGTTGGTCGTCGATGGATTCTTCCTTATAATCTCCATGGGATGCGCTTTACGGACCATCG